TGTGTGTGTGGTGTGTATGTGGTGTGTGTGTGTGGTGTGTGTGTGGTATGTGTGTGTGTGTGTGTGTGTATGGTCCTGGTGAGGAGGCCCTAGGCCAGGCTCTGGTCACAGTGTGTGTTTGTGTGTGTGTGTGTGAAGTGTGTGTGGTTTGTGTGTGGTGTGTGTGAAGTGTGTGTGTGGTGTGTGTATGACTGTGTGGTTTGTATGTGGTGTATGTGGTGTGTGTGTGGTGTGTGAAGTGTGTGTGTGTGTGTGTGTGTGGTGTGTGTGTGTATGGTCCTGGTGAGGAGGCCCTAGGCCAGGCTCTGGTCATAGAGTGTGTGTTTGTGTGTGTGTGTGAAGTGTGTGTGGTTTGTGTGTGGTATGTGTGTGGTGTGTGTGTGAAGTGTGTGGTTTGTATGTGGTGTATGTGGTGTGTGTGTGTGGCGTATATGTGAAGTGTGTGTGGTGTGTGAAGTGTGTGGTGTGTGTGACCTATGTATGTTGCGTTTGTGGGTGTGGTGCGTGTGGTAGGTGAGGACTGTCCCCCTGGCTGGGGACCCTCGAGTGGGGTCTTGGAGGGACAGGCACCTCCCTACCCCCTGCTCTGCACCTGGCAGGCCATGGACTGTCCCCCTGGCTGGGGACCCTCGAGTGGGGAGGGACAGGCAACCCTGCTGTGGCCCTGGCCTCCTGCTCTCCCTCACTTCCTGTGACTCCCCCGTGGACGCCCGCTGGCTGGACCTGCAGGGCAGGCCTGCAGCACCTCAACACAGCACAGTGACTATCTGGGACGTTCGCTGTCCAGGGCAGTTACGAGCCCACGGCTTCGGCGGCTTGGCACCCACGCCCGGTCCTCAGTCCTGTGGGTGCAAGCGGCTGGGCCTGGGGGCGGGACCCAAGTGCGGGCTCTTCACCCCATGTCCTCTTCAGGGAGGCTCTGGGAGGAACAGTTCCTGGGTGTGCAGGTCGCTGGCAGAGCGGGGCTCCGCCCGGCTGGGCCTGGGGTCCCCGGTGCCCTGGGGGCGTGGCTTGGTCGGGGTCCCTTTGCGTTGTTGTTGGGTACAGTCCACATGCCCCAGCCGCACTCGCTTCGACATGCAATTTGATGGGTTCTGACCTATGTCTGCCCCGTGGAGCCACCCCACGGGGAACAGTGGACGCTGCAGCCCCAGGGCCCCTGCTGCCCCTTGTGGCCCCAGCCACCCGTCCCAGCAGCTCTCCAGGTAGTGACGACCTCGAGTCACTCAGGCGGGCATTGCCGTGTGGGGCTTCTTGGTGTCCTACTCAAGACTTGTCCACGCCGGAGTCATCAGCAGTCCCTGGCCCCTGTTCTCTTGCTGCATGGTTCTCCGTGGTGGAGGCCACCACCTGTCCATCTGTTCACCTCGCCACAATGTCAGGGCTGCCCCTGGTTTGGGGCTGTGACAGAGGAAGCCTCCTGAGGGTTCCAGGGAGCCCCACCCCTAGGCCTTCCTGGGCAGCAGGTGCAGGCCAGGTGCAGGGTTGGCCCAGTGGCTTGCACTGCCCTGGAAGGCCACTGGCCACTGGCAGCTGTGTGGCTAAAGAGCCTCGGATGCTGCCGCCACCACGCTCAGCCGAGGACAAGTGTCCGGGCACCGACTCAGACCCAGGGTGGGGGCCACGTGTACAGCCGAGGTGGTGAGATTCCCCCGAGGGACTCAGGACGTGGCAGCACCTAGGTCCCCAGGAAGCCTGGGGCTCGGCAGGAGCTGCTTCCCTGCTGACTGCGTGCCGGCGTGGCTGGGCAGAGGCTGCCCGGGAGCCATCTGCAAGCCTGGCCCAGATCCCGAAGCCGGGAGGGCCCGCCCGTGTGTGCCCCTGGCTGGTGGCAGCAGCTGCTCCGGCTGGGGAGGGCAGAGGAAGGGGCCAGCGCCGCTCTGCGTGGCTCCCGTTGTCCTGGGCCTTTTGTTTCTACGAACCTGGGAAGAGCAAGAGACGGATTGGCCAGGCTTCGGCCTAGGGGAAGCAGTTTGCTGACCACAACTGTACGCCGCAGGAGAGGAGATAGCACAAGGCGTGATCCTGGTTGGGTGTCCCCAGCACCACTGTCCCAGAGAACAGGCCACAAGGACACTGAGGGGCCAGCGGGAAACAGGGCTGTGTGGCAGGTCAGCCTTAGCTTTGCCGATCGTGGCCACTGGTCCACAGAGGACCTCTCGAGGTCCTCGCTTGGGGGGAGGCCACAGCATTCACAGAGCAGCGTCACGATCAGTGCCATAGACTCTCAGGTGGCTCTGAAAGAGAGGTGATGGAGAGGTCGTGGGAGAGGGAGGGAGAGATGGGGGAAGGAGATGGGGGCGACGAGGCCGTGGGTGACTGTGATGGCCGTGGTCTGGCTGAAGGCTGTGGGCCCTTCCTGTTGGTGTTTGGTAGATTAAGGGCTGGGAGGGAAGTAAGTGTGGTGGAGCTCTCGTGGGCAGGGTCTGTGGGTTGCTTAGAATGCTGCGTGGTTGTGTAAGGTTGGGGACTCTCCCCTGGGTGCTGCACCGTCCCCCAGGCCCAGGCTCTCCTTGGGAGCGTCCCTGGGGCAGCACAGCCCAGAGCAGGAGGGCAGAGCCTGGGGTTGGAGGCTGACCACAGTCTCTCTGCCTCTCTGCAGTTCAGACCCTCCCTGGCTCAGATTTGGATGGCACTAGCGATGAGAGTGCCCGGCGCTCTGGAAGCAGCCTGGAAAGGGTGAGGCCACTCCCATGACCCTGAGCCTGGGGACCCAGTGCCCTGGGCACCTCCAGTTCCACACACTGTAATCCTAACAGAGCCCCTCGAGGCCCATGCCTCGCCCCATGCCCTGTCCACCCTGTGCTCGAACACACAGCCTTTGTGTTCTGTGCACGTCCATCCCATGTCCTCTGTGCACATCCACCCCGTGTCCTCTGCATGCCTACCCCGTGTCCTCTCTGCTCGTCCACCCCATGTCCTCTCTGCTCGTCCACCCCATGTCCTCTCTGCACATCCACCCCGTGTCCTCTGCATGTCCATCCCGTGTCCTCTGCACATCCACCCCGTGTCCTCTGCATGCCCATCCCATGCCCTCTGTGCACACCCACCCCATGTCCTCTCTGCACATCCACCCCATGTCCTCTTCATGCCCACCCCATGTCCTCTGTGCATGTCCACCCCATGTCCTCTCTGCATGTCCACCCCATATCCTCTCTGCTCATCCACCTGGTGTCCTCTCTGCACATCCACCCCGTGTCCTCTGCATGCCCACCCTGTGTCCTCTGCATGCCCACCCCGTGTCCTCTGTGAACGTCCACCCC